GATATTAGGATGCTTGTAGATCCTATTGTCTTAGCTAGGTTCTTTTAAACCTTGATTGTTTGCTGCGATTCTTTGATAAATTGATAGCCAGGTCTACTTTGATGTACTGGTCTATTAGTTTCCAAGCTCAACTGGCAGAGTTTTGTTGCCAGTAAAGTGCTGATGTTTTTGATGAAATGATATTCCCAACCGATTCATAATTTTTTTATATATTGATGTGATTTATTTACGGTTAATATTCATAATATTATGGTTAATAGCGATTGTTTTTAGTTTTTCATTCATAATAATGATTATTGATCATAAACTTTAAACGTTGAATATGATGAATGCATATTATCATCCTACATCACTAGTGGACCAAAGTCCCTTTGAATTCCCTCTATCACCGTATGTATCGCTGACTTGGTCTTTTTATTCCTATTGTGGTGGAAGAATCTTTCAATATGTTGTGGGTTGGAGCTGTGGTTGTGTTTCCAGGGAAGGAGAATACCCACGCCCATGTTTGAGTTGGGTCCAGATCGGGTCAGTAACTGATGTGTCAGTAACTGATGGGTCAGTAATCCCTTCTATGGTCCCCACGTGTCAGACATTTTTTTATTTAAATTAAATGTGAAAAGGGCAGTACAGTAAAATTGCACTTTCTCCTATTTATTGTTGAGGCTGACTTTTGACCGTACCATATCAGCGCCTCCTTCTCTCTCATCGCAAAACATTTAATTTTCCTTCCCTTAATCTTTAACGGACGATTTCTCACTCGTTTTAAGTCGAAATTTAATTTTTTTTGCACAGTTAGATCAGATTAATTGTGCTCTTCAAAATGATATCCACTTTGACTGTACCAGTTATACCATATGGTATTGACTGTACCATATAGTATTGACTGGTATTAAATAAGAGTATACCATATGGTATGAAAATTTTTGCCACATGAATATATATTTCGTTACTACCATATGGTATAGTGTGGTAATATCAATATATATTTCGTTACCACCCAATACCGTATGGTATAGTGTGGTAATATCAATATATATTTCGTTACCACCCAATATCATATGGTATAGAGTGGTAATACTAATATATATTTCGTTACCACCCAATATCATATGGTATAGAGTGGTAATACCAATATATATTTCGTTACCACCCAATACCATATGGTATAGTGTGGTAATATCAATATATAATTCGTTACCACACAATACCATACATTACCATATGGTATAATGTGATAATATCAATATATATTTCGTTACCACCGAATACCATATGGTATAGAGTTATAATATCAATATATATTATCTAAAAGTAAAAAACAGAAGGAGGTAGAGAAAAAAAATCGTCTTCTGTCGCCTCTCATTTCCTCTTTCGCAATCAAGAACACCAAAATGCCGAAAAATGAGAAAGATCGAAATTGAGGCCAACGAGATGATGAAGAGAAGAAATGCAATGAAAGAGAGTGGTTGCAATTTTTATTCGTCCTGGAGAAAAAATAAATAAATAAGAAGAGAAGGGAGCATATTTAGATCTCAAAAGGAGATTGAGAGAAAAAAAGGAAGAGAGAGGATCTGGAAAAGAGATTGAGAGAGAAAAAGGAAGAGAAGGAAGAGAGAAAGATAAATGAGAGTTGCAGAGGAATAATGATTTCTTTTTCCTTCTTTGAAAATGCAGCCATTTAATACGAAATAAAATAAAATAAAGAATTTAATGTATAAACGGACAAAAATACCCTTCTCCACTTAGCATCCGGCCCAACCACACGATTGCCTGCCTCCTAGATCTACGGTCACTATTTATTACTGATCTGTCAATAACCAAGTGGTTACTGACCCTATCTCCTGCCGATTGAGTTGGCTCCTATTAATTCATTGACCCAACTTGTGAATCTTTCGCTAGGCTCGTCAAAGTAATGGGTCGGAACTAGATGAAGGAATCTGTGCTAAGGTGAGGCAAGACCCGCCTAGCAAAGGAAGCGTCGGAAGGGTAGCTGAGTTCTGGAGTTGGGCCTGCCCGGGAATGCAGGCCTGGGGTTTATTTGCCAAGAGGAATTCAAGAGAGAGAGATACCAGAAACATAAACCGGCGTCTACAGGTCTGCCGAGCTGTGACTTGAGCCTTAAGGTAAGGGTTGGCCTGCAAGCGGCCGAGAGTGACGACGAGGCAAGGACGAGCAACCGGCCCGTTTCTTTTGAGAAATGGCTAGCCAGACCTTGATGAGTACGAAGAGGCATTAAGTTTTCAACACAAATTTACACATGGAGCTTTGTCAAACTGGTTTATATAGTCGTGTCAATTTGGAATGATTTGACCGGTGGTACAATCATTTGTACTAGTTTAATAAAATATATAAAAATATGAAAACTCATTAACATAATTATATATATATATATATATATATATATATATATATATGTATGGTGGCTTCTATGGTACCCCGGGTGAAATCCGGGGTAACGCATACCTCGAGTATGGAAACTCTATCTAGACCTCGAATTACCAGGATTTTTGTGTCTGATATTATACCCTAACCCTTAATGAGTGAACCCTAGGTCATAATTATCTAAATCATAATCTATAAACCCTAAGATGGTGCATTCCTTTTTGTGCCTATATTTGGATGAATCATAACCGTCGATTATTATTTCTAATTAAATTGATCTTGGAGTATAAGATTGGGAGAGTTAACACCTAGATTTTGATCTTTAAGTGTTAGAGTATAGTATCATGTCCGAAAGATCGGTCAATTCAAGGTCTAGATAGTGTTTTCATACTCAAGGTATGCGGTACCCCGGATTTCACCCAGGGTACCATAGAACTCGCCATATATATATATATATAAACATATTTTAAAACAGTTTACTTACAATCCATATTCATATAAAATATGACATTCCAACTAAAATAACAAAAACTCATATTTAAATACAATATTTAAAGTCAATAGCTTAACGTTTATACTTGAATCCAACAAATAATTTCAACATTTAACTTTTAAATTCATAAAAGAAAATAATTAATTTTTATTATTATTGAAATTCACTAAAACGATGTCATTTTACTTAGAGATCATAAATCGATGATACTGGTCATACCGGTTGTACTCTCGTCGGTTTCATGGCCAACACAAGTTGAACCAAGTTTAACCGACCAACATTCCATCTGCATGACAACCATGCTTCCAACAATTCGAATTATTGGGACCAGGCGATTTATAACAGAATATCAAACTGATTTATCATTGAATTCACGTGTTCAAATCCTCGCAACTCTAATACTAACTGCGGTCTTAAAACACTTGCCATGACAATCATGTGCAAAATTCATAACTAGTCTCGTGGACCATACTTATATTTCAGAGCTAACAAACTACTTCTCGCAAGTTCAAAAGCTTTAAAAGGCCATGATAGAATTTATATAAGCTTATAACCCATGCAATGTTATTCCCAGCTAGATATATAATGAGATTGTACTAGTTAACTATGAGTTGCTACATGCATCCATCAGGTATTAACAGAGGATTAAAACAGCAAGTGTAGCCCTGTCCCAAAAAAAATTGCGACCAGAGAACAAGACCGACCAAAAAGTCGATCTCTTAAAACGATTAGACATATGTGGCAAGCTACGTTGCCCAATAAAAAAACAAAAACAAAAACAACCAGAACATAATCCACACAAAATCATATCCTGACTACGTGTGGAACAAAATCTCCTAAAGTGATTTAAGTAATCCATACTTGTATGTCTACCAAAAACCTAGATGAGTTCAATATGTGCTATAACATAGTTTTAGCACCATTGTAGTATAAAATCACCAGAAAACTAGAAGAATCAAAATACTTGAAGTAGTAGCTGGGATTATGATGACCAAATCACAAGGATATAATCTGAAATACAATTAAAAACTCTAGCTACGATCCATCCCCAATAATGGACATAGCTAGAGAACTCCTTTTGGTGTACTTGCAAATCATATATAGTATCCTTATATCTCATGTATTGTTTGACATTTTTTTGTTGTTGTTGTTAAATATAGCTTGTATTGTACTAAAGAAACCAAAAAGAGATTGCTAGAGAAAGGGAAATAATATCAATGATCCACCCACCTAATCTTCCAAAAGAGAAGGGTAGTATATATTCTCTCAGTTTTGACAACTCATGATCACTTTGAGATGGTTTCACAAGTGTATAGTTAACTCTTACATCTAATGAACATTAAAAATACATGCATGATGATATATAACTACGATTTCTGAAGTGCAACCACTGCAAGATAAGGGCAAAACCAGTTCCAAACCCTAACAATGACAATCAAAAAATATCTCCATCTAATCTAAGCTTGAAGCATTGAAAATGTGATTGATAGCTAGCTAGGTAGGTATCATCTTCATCAATTCCTTCCACACCATCGGTTAGTAACTTAATATATATACAAGTGCACATCTCCTTGATTGAAAAATAAATGTGCATGGATAGGTTGATTTCTTAAGAGCTCGTGCTATATTCAGTGAAAATTTATAAGTAAATGAGAAAAATCCATAATACGCTTATGTAGTCTTCACCTAAATCGATCATGTATGAATGATAAAAGTACGGTTGCAGTTATCTATTCAGGTTATATGGATAACCACTTTCTTATTTGGATTTGAAGTTAAATGGATATATATAAATCCGATCTAGCATTGGTATTAGACATTGCAGCAAGCCAACAAAGAGGCCACAACCCCACAACCACAACACTTGTTTGCCCTACTCCAAATCAAGCAAGCCACTACTCAACAAGCACACAACATAAATGTAATGTGAGGAAACTGGTAAAATTTATCTAACCGACTGACTCGATCCCTTGGAAACACTCATTCACTCATTCATCACAAATCCAGAAGAAGAAGAAAACTAAGATCTAGTCGAACCTAATCAGCCAACTCAGTACTACAACAACACCCTATATCATGCAACCCACGAAGAAACTGCTGAATCGCCATGCCATGCATATATGTGTCACTGGTATGATAAAACATGGTTGAGTTTTCGCTCCAGCGCTGTCAGATCGATATAGCTATTAGCCGCACTAGCCTGCACAAGACACTTTTTTTTTTTTTTTTTTGATGGTTACGTACCAAACCACATTGAATCTATTGTACTATATATGAGTATCGCCATTAACTAGAACAACTAATTAATACGTACTTGGCACTGCATAGTGTTGTAGAAGCGGGCTTGCCTTTGGGTGGAAACACAGCTGGTGACATCGAAGCCTTCTTGTATGACAGCTTCCACCACCCTCGACAGTTCGAACCCACCACCCTTATCGCTGCTCGTCACCACCTCCACCCCAGCCGAATGTGGGCGCACCGTCACGCTGCTGCCGGACCCATTCCTCCTCCTGCTTCCACCTGCTGCTAACTGCTGATCAGTAGTAGTGTTGGTCGAGTGCTGCTGGTCGACAGCTGATGATGATGAGGATCGTTTGAGCTTGTCCCTTTTGCTGCTCAACTCCCCGATGTTGCTCTCCAAGTGCTTGATGTAATTCACCGCCTCCCCCATGTGATCCGACATCGACCGCTTTCCCTGACAAAGACACAAACCAGACCCACGTTAATGGTTAAGTGTTGTACAAACCTCTCTTTCGGCAACTTGAGTTATTGGAATAATTTGGTTTATGATATTCTGATACAAAGTTGGTTTATTTTTAGAGTCAAGTGTTCAAATCCTCACGACCCCATACTAAACAAACGTTGTCTTTAAGCACATCGTATAATTGGCATATGCAAATTTCAAGTCAATGAATTTGTTTTCTGTGTTCAGGAAGTAGTGTGTACAGAAATGATTACATACCATACATCTACCTCTGAGTTGTTATTAAAAGCGGTTGGTTGAGTCATTACACGTTAACACCCTAATCTCAGCCAAGAGAGTTGTGCCCGAAATCTGTCATACCTTGAGGGAGTGGTGTGGCAAGAGGGAAATGAGGGAGGAATGGAGGGTCGACATCTGCTTCCTTCTCTGCCGTTCGATCTCCTTCCGGTTCACCGCCTTTTTCTTACTTCCATCCTGATCATCACCATGTCCACCGCTGCTCCCACCAGCAGGAGCAGGAGCGTGGAGTAGTTCTGCTGCTTGACCTAATCCATGGTCAACGAATTGACCGCCGCCCAGTCCCAGCTGCTGCTGGTAGGAGTAGTAGTTATAGCCCTCGGTAGTGATGACGTCGTCGCCACCAGCATTCCAGATCATGGTGATGAGATCCTGAGGATCCGGATCCACATAGCCCGGTGGCTGGGCCGGCCCGTCGTCGTTGCCTGAAGGTGGAAACATATCTTGTCGATCGAGGAGAGAGAGCTTGAGGAGATTTTGGTGGTTGGTTGGGTGTGTGGTGGTTGAACTAAGTTCTGGGTCGCCGGCACGAGTGGGGGAGATTCTGTTGTTGAGTTCGATTTTGGATTGGGGTTTGATCTTGATAAGGAAGGTGTTTGTTTATTCAATATTGAGAAAGCCTGGCCTGCCTGCCGCCTCGTCTTCTATTATTGAAGGTTGGGGGCCCTTTCTCTGAGACACCTTTACTATGCAAATTGCTGCGACTCTGGGCGTTCCCATTTCGGTCGGACCCACGTGTCGGGTTACTTTTTTTTTCTTTCTTTACTCTGTTTGTACCAGCTGGCTGGCTCGTTATTACTGGCGACTGCTTCCAATTTACTGGCGACCAATCGAAGGATAAGAGAGACAGTATCATTGACCATCCGATATTTACTAGGGTTTGAAATTCGCGAAATCTTAATCGAACTGACCAATTTGTCCTAACTTGTATATCTAAAAAAAACATGTTTTTTTTTTAGGCTGGCAGTCATTACCATTTTTTATTTATTCCTTGTAAAAGAAAAGTCATTAGCATTTTAGTATATATTTTGCTATGGTCTCGTGTCTAGTTGTAGTGTTTGATTTTCTTTTTCTCATTTGATACAGGACATAGTAGTACGAGACGATGTACATGAATTGATGGGAATAAGACTTGATGTGACTTGATGTGACTTGAATCGGTGTTTGGGCTCAATGTTATTTGGGTTCGGGGTCTGGGCCTGGTCTGTAACCGTTTCCTTTGCTATATTGGATTAGGTTTAGACCCACATGTAGAAGTACTATAAGTACTTCTCATACTCCTCTGTAATATGTAATCTCCTCGATATAGTGAAACTGGCTCTCTCTCTCGCCCGTGGACGTAGCTAACACACATCGTGTTAGTGAACCACGTAAATAGTGTGTCAGTGTCTTTCGGTTCTCGCTTTCGTATTCTTGCTTTATCGATTACGGCGATTTCCCGATCCGTAGCAGCGCGTTTATAACAAGTGGTATCAGAGTCGCGGCTTGAAATCAGGCTAGGGTTTTCGATTCAGAAGAATGACGTCGGTGAACATGAAGATCGAAAAGTTCACGGGGAAGAACAGCTTCGCTATATGGCAGATCAAGATGCCGGCTTTATTAAAACAGCAAGGGCTGTGGGGGCCGCTGTTTGCAAAACAGAAGAAGGCAGCGGTCGATGACTATGAGTGGAATACCCTAGAGGAGAAGGCCCACTCGACCATCATGCTATCGTTGTCTGATGACGTCATCATTGAAGTCGCTGCTGAGAAGACTGTCGCGGGCTTGTGGTTGAAACTAGAGAGTCTGTACATGACTAAGTCTCTAACCAACAAGCTGAATCTCAAGCAACGGTTGTTCAGCTTGAGGATGCAAGAAGGTACGCATTTTAGGGAACATCTCGAACAACTTAACTCTATTTTGCTGGATCTGCATAATATAGATGTTCAAGTTGATGACGAGGATGCTGCCCTAATCCTACTGGTTTCTTTGCCGAGTTCATATGAGAATTTCGTTGACTCTTTTATTGCTGGTAAAGAAAGCGTGTCGTTGGAGGATGTCAGGTCTGCTCTTCATACGAGAGAGATCAGGCATAAGGTGTCTGGATCTGGTACAGGTGGTCAGGAATCGGGTTTGGTTGTTACAGGTGGAAAGGGAAAGAAGAAACCTGGTAAAGGGAATTCGAATAAGAATTCCAAGGGTCCCGGTCCACAGCCAGGTGATGCTTGTCACAACTGTAAGGAAGTGGGGCATTGGTAGTACAATTGTCCCAAGATAAGAGGGCAACATAAGAAACAAGGTTCAGTTGTCGTGGCAGAAATGGATAACAGTTTTGAAGACGATCTCGCCTTGGCTGTAGATGAGAAGGCAAATCATGAGGATGTGTGGTTTCTGGATACTGCAGCCTCATTCCATATGTCTTCGAACAGGGATTGCTTCACAACCTACGAGCAGATAGATGGTGGTAATGTGGTCATGGCAAATGGAGCTGTCTGCAAGGTTGTTGGAATCGGGTCCATAAAGGTTCAGGCACATGATGGTTCGTTATGTACCGTGAATGATGTCAGGCATGTTCCACGAATGACAAAGAACCTGATCTCCTTGAGTCTACTCGACAACAAGGGTTTCAGTTTCAAAGGAAAAGATGGAGTTGTGTATGTATGCAAAGGTTCAAGGAAGGTGCTGAAGGGCGTGAAGCGTGGGACCTTGTATGCATTACAAGGGTCTGTGTTGTCTGGTTCTGCTGCAGTTGCATCGTCTCAGGTTCATCAGGAAGATATGACCACACTGTGGCACATGAGATTGGGGCATACGAGTGAACGGGGGATGCAAGTTCTATTGAAGAGGGATTTTCTTTGAGGGCACAAGGTGCAAAATTTAGAATTCTGTGAGCATTGTGTGTTTGGGAAGCTACATCGCAGCAAGTTTCCCAAGAAGGGTATCCACCGGACGAAGGGGATACTGGATTACCTCCACACCGACTGTTAGGGTCCTTCACGAGTTGAATCCATTGGAGGCAGCAGGTATTTTCTGGTTCTGCTGCAGTTGCATCGTCTCAGGTTCATCAGGAAGATATGACCACACTGTGGCACATGAGATTGGGGCATATGAGTGAACGGGGGATGCAAGTCCTATCGAAGAGGGATCTTCTTTGCGGGCACAAGGTGCAGAATTTAGAATTCTGTGATCATTGTGTGTTTGGGAAGCTACATCGCAGCAAGTTTCCCAAGAAGGGTATCCACCGGACGAAGGGGATACTGGATTACCTCCACTCCGACTGTTAGGGTCCTTCACGAGTTGAATCCATTGGAGGCAGCAGGTATTTTCTGTCTATTATTGATGATTATTCGAGATTTACTTGGATTTTCATGGTGAAGCAGAAAAGTGAGGCTTTCACGAAGTTCAAGCAGTGGAAGACATTGGTGGAGAATCAAACCAGGAAGAAGATCAAGAAGCTGCGAACGGACAATGGTCTGGAGTTCTGTAATTCTGAGTTCAACGAATTCTGCAAGGATGAAGGGATTGCCCGTCATCGGACCGTAGAGATACACACCAGCAGAATGGCGTTGCAGAAAGGATGAACCAGATATTGTTTGAGAGAGCACGGTGCATGCTCTCTAATGCTGGATTAGAGAGAAGATTCTGGGCAGAAGCAGTGAACATGGCATGCTTCTTGATCAACCGTGGACCTCACACATGTATCGAGTTGAAGACTCCTTATGAGGTGTGGTATGGTAAGCCAGCTGATTACTCTTCACTGAAAATTTTTGGGTGTCCGGTTTATTATCATGTGGATGAGGGTAAACTGAACCCAATGGCAAAGAAGGGTGTATTTGTGGGTTACGGAGATGGAGTTAAGGGATTTCGAGTCTGCTCACCTTCTGAGCATCGGGTTATACTAAGCATAAATGTGATATTTGATGAGAAGTATATGTTTAACCCCATGTTGAAGGTTACTGTTGTTGAAGGTAGCAGGAATGTTGATAAACAGGTGGAGCTGCAAACTCTCAAAGAGAGTGAGTTTGAGCACCAAGGTGGAGAAGATCAACATGATGAGGATGTCTCTGCAGAGCCAGAAACTTCAAAGTCCAGTGCAGGAGCTCCACAGTCTATAGCTTCCGATAGACCAAAGAGAACGACTGCAGGAGTACCTCCAAAGAGGTATGGTTTCGAGGACATGGTGGCGTATTCATTTCAGGTTGCTGAAGAAGTGGATGTAGGTGAGCCACAGTCCTATAGAGAAGCCGTTTCGGGTGGCGAAGCTGATCAGTGGCTTGCTGCAATGGGAGATGAGATGGAATCCCATGCCAGGAATCAGACTTGGGAGCTAGTCAAACGACCACAGGGAATGAAGATTGTTACAAACAAGTGGATCTACAAGAAGAAGGAAGGAATCACTTCTAAAGAGGGCATGAAATTTAAAGCTCGGGTGGTTGCACGAGTCTTCTCGCAGAGGGAAGGAGTTGACTACAATGAGATTTTCTCACCAGTGGTCAGACATACTTCGATCAGAGTGCTACTAGCAATAGTGACACATTATGACTTGGAGCTCGAACAGCTAGACGTGAAGACAGCTTTCCTACATGGAGAGTTGGAGGAAGAAATTTACATGACTCAGCCAGAAGGATTCGAGGTTCCGGGAAAAGAAGACTATGTTTGTAAGCTGAAGAAGTCCTTGTATGGACTTAAGCAATCTCCGATGCAGTGGTACAAGAGATTTGACAGTTACATGCTTGAGCTGGGCTACAGCAGAAGTCCATATGATTGTTGTGTGTATCACAACAAGGTGGAGGATGGTTCGATGATCTATCTTGTTCTGTATGTGGATGATATGCTCATAGCTGCGAGGTCAAAGTCTGATATCCAGAAGTTAAAGGGGCTTCTCAGTGCTGAGTTTGAGATGAAGGATTTGGGAGCTGCTCAGAAGATCTTGGGTATGGAGATTTACAGGGACAGGTCGAAGAAGAAGCTTTTCTTATCACAGAAGAGCTACATCCAGAAGATATTGTCGAGGTTTGGCATGTCTTCAGGAAAGCCATTAAATACTCCTAGTGCTTCAAATGTTCATATATCCTCAACTTATGCACCGCAGTCAGAGGCTGAGAAAGAGTACATGTCGAGAGTCCCATATGCTAGTGCAGTAGGTAGCTTGATGTATGCTATGATATGCACTAGCCCTGATCTTGCACATGCTGTTAGTGTTGTCAGCAGGTTTATGATACAACCTGGGAAGGATTATTGGCAGGCTGTAAAGAGGATCTTCCGGTACCTTAAGGGTACACCTGATGTGGGGATTAGCTTCGGAAGTGATACAGAGTGCTTGGTGTCTGGGTATTCTGACTCGGACTATGCTGGAGATGTTGACACGAGGAGATCGATGA